GCCATCCCTCACGCCCTCCTCCTCCCTGATGGGCCACACCGTGGCCTGCAGCTCCCAGCCACCCTTTCCGTCAGGATGGCCATGAGGAGCAGAAGGGAAGAGATCTTCCAGTCAGCCTTCGACACTGCCCCACCCAAGCCTCCATCACCCCATCTCTAGCAGCGAGGTGAGGCCACGTGGCATCTCATGAGGCTCATAGATCCTCACATCCATTCTCTGGTATATCTGACAGGGGCAAGGTTTGTTTCCTTCTGCAAATCTCCCCCATACTCTTCCCATTTCCCCTTAAACACATCTCCCTATTTGTTTGCCAACTTTTCATTGCTCTGACAAAATAAAGTAAGAATCACCTTAAATGAGGAAATTTTGGCTGATGGTTTCAGAGGTTTCCATCCATAGTTGGAGGGCTCCCTGGCTTCAGGGCTGTGATGAGGAAGAAGCATCATCACAGATGGGCATGGCAGAGGAGAGCTGCTCACCTCATGGCCGCCAGGAAGAAGAGAGGGGGAAAGAGCAAGGAGGAAGGGGCCAGGGATAAGATGTAGCCCCACATCCATACCTCTGAGACACACTACCTTCATCTAAGTCCACCTCAGATGTTCCATGACCTCCCAGTAGCACCATCAAATGTGACTCTGTCAGGGGTTCCTCCACTGAGGAAGTCAGAGCCCTCAGAATCTTGTCACTTCCTGGATGCCCATCAGTGGCCACATTTCCACACAGTGAGCCCTTGTGGGGCAATTTACATCCCAGTCATAACACTGACTCAGTTTCTGGAGATGAGCATGCAGCTCAGTAGTGGAGCTTCCTGCGATTTCAGTGGCAAAGAGCAGAGGAAGTGGTCTGAGAGGCTGAGGAGGAGCAGCACAGTGGTGAGCTCCTTGTAATTTAATTGCCTCATTATTTGGCAGCCTGATTGAATCCATGACACTGAGCATGGGTGGGAAAGCCTTTTATCACACACACTTGTCTCTCTTAAACTCACAACCACTGAAGTTAAGAGAGCAAGGCAAAGCTTCCTTAAACCATCTGCTTATCACTCACCATTAAACTTTCATATTTTCTCTCCTCATGCCAGCTATGCCTTCTCCTTAGCTTCCCTCTCAGTAACCCACTGACCACTATTCCAGTCAGGGAAGGGTTCACTCATCACTCCCCTCTGTATACCTCCACATGCACCAGAACCTGTGCCTGCAGACGCACTTCCCATCCCTGCCCAAGGAACCCTGAGGCACCTTCTCCACTACTGCACAGATATTATTATCAGTTATAGCCATTAATTACTTGGCTGCAGCAGCTGCTGCTGCTCCTCCTCATCTTCCACTTCCTGCTCTTTGTTGTCCTCTTCCTCTTCCCCTCCTCCGTGTCCTCTTCTTCCTCCTCTTTATTCCTCCTCCTCTTCCTCTTCTCCTCCTTGTTTTTCATCTTTTCTTGCTCCTCTGATCTCCCTTCATTTATCTCTCCTTTGTTTTCATTTTTTGTTTTTTGGTACCAGGATCAAACTCAGGACCTTGTGCTTTCAAGGCAGGTGCCGGAACCACTGAGCTAAATCCCAGGCCCACTCCTTTGGATCAATAACTTCCTGCTTTTCTTGATTGCTCTTATCATTTTGCAAATATTCTGTTACTTTTCCTACCAGGTAAATCTTTCTTTTGAAGCTCCTGTGCTGATTTCTCAGCTCCATTTGTCAAAGAACTGTCTATATGCTTGTACTTCTAACTTTTCTCCTATGCCATCCAAATCCACTCTGTTATGGTTTATATTAAAAAGTCCCCCAAAATTCTCATGTGCAGAGGTGGGGTCTGGTCAGAGGAGACGGTCACTGGGGTGTGTCTGGAAGGATGTATTTTCATCCCTGGCTCCTTCCTTCTCTTGCTGCTTCCTGGTCTCCTCCTCCACCAAGCCCTTCTGCCAGGACCTCCTGCCTTGGAGCAGCCAACTCTGGACTGAGTCCCCTAAAAAACATGAGCCAAAATAACTCTCCTCCCTTAAGCTGTGGGTGTTCGGTGTTTTGTCTCAGGGATGAAGAAATCACTGAAACACATTCCAGTCAATATTTTTTTCACTGTTACATCAGCGATTTCTGTATTGCTAGATCCAAATATTATTTCCCAGGCCTTATTGAAATTTTGGTTTGCCACTTATTTACAAAGGCATAGCTATTCATTATTTTAAGCTTTGAGCTCTATTTTTGTGTTTGGGTTTTTTCTTTCTTCCACTACCTCTAAAGGTTTATTTGAGCTTTCTTGGAGTCCCTTAAGGCTTTGGTTTACTGCACTTAGTCTTAAATCTCTCTGAAATACATTTTAGTGTATAGGGACAGAGAGCACTCAGACTCAGTGTTTTTCCCCAAATACATAGTCAAAGCCCCAGTTACGTTACTTATTCATGTCACATTTGCTGCCTGAGAGAGAAGTATTAGTTGATCGAAGGTGATATTCTATGTTGCAGTCAAACCTAATTATTTTTTCCCAGTTTTATGGAAAACTCATAGAAATAGGCTCTAGAGGTCTTACGCAGTTGAAATTCTTCCTAAATTCTGAAAAAAAAAGTTTTCTGTGACTCTTAATTTCCACCATGGTAAGTTTATGTGTTTTAGTGGAAAATTAAGGAAATCAACTTCAAGAGCTAGACCTTTCGTGCCATTTTAAAAATGATTATCTCAGATTATACTATCCTTTTTTAACTTGCATTTGAGCATTTCATAAATCATTTTATCAAATTACTTTGTAAACAACAACACCGTAATTTCAAGCAATCAAGAAAATTTGAGGATCTGATTTTAAGAATATTGAGAGTATTCTAAGAATACTGCATAAGAATATTTAGAAAAAGTTCAATGTATTTGTAAGGATGGATAATAGCTCCATTGCTACTTGGGGAAATATAACATATCAGAATTGACATCTTTATCATCTTTTGTTTGCCTATGATAAATATTTTAAAAGGACAAGTGAATAATTTGACAATACTGCACAAATGCATACACCCACTACTGCCACTATTTATGTCATTCTGGAAGTTCTGGCTCATGGAAAAGGGTCCACCAAGGAAAACTTAAACCTCAACAAAGAGAAGAATTTCATGGAACTGAGGTTGTAGCTCAATGATAGAGCACTTGCTTATGCACAAGGCCCTTGGTTCAATCCCCAGCATCACAGGGAAAAAAAGAAGAAATTGACCTCCTTTTCAGGTGAGACACTCATACATTTAGTGGCTTCTGAGATGCTCTGCCAGATACTATGGTCCTCCATCTCACTATCCCAGATGGATGATGGAAAAACTGTATTAAATATGGTGATTCAGGGCCTGGGATTTAGCTCAGTGGTTCTGGCGCCTGCCTCGAAAGCGCAAGGTCCCAAGTTTGATCCCCAGTGCCAAAAAAAACTGGTGATTCAGATGAAGGCAGAGTACAAAATAAACACAGACACCAATTGCTCTCCTATGAGTATTCCATCAAACCTCCCATAATGGAATAAGATGGCAAAGCTGCCCCTCAAACACTGGCTAGCCTAGGCCGTGCTTCTCTGGGTGTGGACCACAGCCAGGCCTCCCGACCCAGCATCTCAGAACCTGGGACAAGGACTCTGCAATTTTCAGCAATCTTGGGCAAATTCCCACCAGTTCTTTTGCTCTTAAAATTTGAGATTCCCAGATGCAGGAAATAAGAGGAGACTGTGAATCTAATTAAAGTACCCAACCTCTGCAGGATCCAGTTCTTATCTGCAGAAAAGGGTTGATGAGAAGGACTTTGGAAGAGTTAGTAAGGTAGGTGAGAGGTTTGGGATTCCTCCAGGTGCACAATAAGCATGCAATAATTATTAGATGTTAGTGTGATACATTGAAACAAAAATATAAAATGTGATATAAGCTTGGGAAAGAGTATCAGGAGCCTGTAAGTGAAGATAAAAGATGACTGAGGTTTACTTTTAAAATCCTATAAGCTGAGATACGTACTACATTCCCTTAGGACTGACAGGGCAAGATAGAGCACAGGACAATGTGATACTATAAAGAAATCCATTTTTTTCAGAGTTGGTTTTTAAATTTCAAGTAGTTTTATGCAAATATATCAATGCACACTTTTCATAACTCAACTAAATGGTAAGAGCCATCTTGAAGAAAATGTGGAAAAACTGCCCACCCACCCCCACAGCAGAGGGAATCATTCTGAAAGCCACTTTCATTGATAGATGCCATAACACACAGTTACAACGTACTTCACAGCATCTGCTGCTATCAGTAGGGTAGACAGGCAGGGAACTAGAGAGAAAATACAGAAATCTATCTAAGGACACGAGCCTTCAGAGTATGATAGAGCTGGAGCCTAAAATCCATGGAGAAATTTGGAATTATTTAATAAATAGTAATTGGCTTATTGATTAAGTAATTAGAAAAACATAACATCACTCAAGTTTATTTCTGAAAGTATTAAAGAGAAAATTAGAGCATAAAAATGAAAGTTGGAGCACATAGGGTGATTATGTGCATAGAAGCATTCTGTATGTTGTGTCAGGAGAAACAGAGTCTATAAAAGTAGGGATTTGGGGGCTGTGTGCGATTGGTAAAATGTAAGAAACAGAATGAGGGGCGGGGCAGTGCTCACCATTGTTGATTCCCATTCACTAAGTTTATGGGTACATGTTAGGTGTACACTATGCTGGCACTCATCACTGGGGATTTGCACCTGTACATGACCCATCCTGCTTCTTATTTCCCCTTCCCCTGCCCTCCCTTCACCCCTCCATGCCTCACTAGCTACAGAGCCTTTGTTTCTGTTTTTTCCTTTTCTTATATTTTTTTCTTTTCCCTTCTTTCCTTTCTCCTTCCCCTCCCACTTCCCCTTCCCCTTTAGACCTTTCCTTCCTATGTCACATTATCTATTATACCTTTTGGTCCCATGTACACTATCAGTTTCTCACCCCAGAGAAACTATTCGGTATTTGCACTTGTGTGTCCTGCTTATTTCACTTAAGAGTGTGGCCTCACCATGCATCCACTTAGCTGTAAATGTCTCTCATTGCTCATTCTTCATTGCTGAGTAGTACTCCATTTTATAGCTGAGTAGTTGATCTTAGGGAGCCGGAGCCAGGACTTCCCTTCAATGGCCCAGGCAGCCACGGGCACCCAGTGGCTGGTGCCATCGCGCCATGCTGGTGACCACGGGAGAGCGTTTGGGCTCCACATGCAGCAGGCAGAAGGAGGCCACAGAACGCTCCACAGAGGGCGGTCAGAGCTCCCCCTGACGTCCCTGCCTCCTTTCCCTGTGTGCCCGGAGCCGAGGCTGGCCTCTGGCTTCCCCATTGCTCCCCTCCCCCGGATGGGCCACAGAGAAGCGGGGAACGCTGCCCGCCCTAGGCCTGAGAGGTGCCTGAGTGACACCTCCCCGTGAGCTCTGGGGCAGCGGGCAGCAGAGACAGGCAGGCCTCCGTCCCTGGGCACCAGGGCCCACACGGAGATCGGGCTGGTGATGCGCATGGCAGGGACGGGCAGGGCCGCTGACAGCCTCTGCCCTGGAAGTTCGCTGAGTGACTGAAACACACCGGGATGAAGGTTAGGCGACGGTGGTTACGGCAGCTCTGTCCATCCATCACGCCCCCAAAGAAACACGCTCTGTGCCTGATAATAAAAAGGGCCCAAGGCAATTATAACACGTTCATGGGATATATGCTGAGACATGAAAACTGTGCTGTGGCTCAAAGGTATTTTAGATGATGTGAGAATGGCTCGCACCCGGGGAGGCCAGGAGAGGGCGGTGAAGAGCAGGGAGCCGGGAGGGGAGGGGCGGGCCTCCAGGGCGAGGGCAGGCACTGCTCCTGGACAGGGGCGGGCGCCTGCAGGGCTGCGGCTCAGAGTCGCCCATGGGAGCGCGGGCGCCTGCAGGGCTGCGCTGTGGCTCAGAGTCGCCATGTGCGCGGGGACTGTGCGTGCACATGCGAGCGTGGTGTCCGTTCCCTGCCCTCCTTCCTCCGTCCTCTCCATCCCCTCTCCCATACCTACGAGCTGCCTTCTGGTTTCCTATCCCCCTCCTTTATTTCACTGATTTACTTACATGTTAGGGGTTTTATATAAGAGGGAACACACTATGGCTTTCTGAGTCTGGATCATTTTCCTTACCTTGCTGGTCTCCATCTGATTTCCTCCAAATGCATGGCTTCAGCCCTCTTCACAGCTGAGTAATATTCCATGAGTATAGACAGCATTCTCTTTATTCATTCATCTATTGATGGGCATCTAGGCTGTTTCCAGAGCGTAGCGGCTATGGATTTACCTGCTATAAACTTGGGTATGCAGGCATCACGATTACAAACATGCACTAATAAAGAGAGAAAAAGACTGATCAAGCATATCTGCCATTTTGCACACCAGTTTTACCTAGAATAGGGTCCAAGAAATTTCAAAAGGGGAGGAGGAAAAATGGATCTGTGAGAATCAGAGGAGCAAAGAGAACATCCTTTTATAGGATCTGGAGTGGCAAAAATAATTGTTTTGATTTTTAAACTGCTCACCAACAAAGCTCACGCCAGAAAGAGACCACACTTCAGAGCACTTCCCTTCCCGCCCTGTCTGCTCCGTGCCGCCCTGAGAACAGGCCCCGGGCTCCGTGAGAACAGCATGGCCTTGTGTCCTGGACGCCACAATGAGAGCGATGTCGGGTCCCTCTCGGCCCCTCCCTCTGGTTGCTGCACAGCTAGTGACCAAAAACAAGCGGGGGGGTGGGGGGCGGGCAGAGAAAGGTTCAGGAGTGAGGAGAAAAATCTTCCCAAAACTTCACCTTCTGAAAGATGCAAAGATAGACTATCCACATGCACGAAGAGACACTGATGCAAGGTGGAGGTGTGTGAGCATGAAAACATGACGGTTAAAAGAAAAAGTCAAGTAAGAGTTTGAGGACCAGTTTAAGAAAATACCAGAAAGCAGAACAAAACGACAGAGACTCCAAGTATCCAAGAAAAAATACTATCAGGAACAATCTAGAAAGTCCCATCTCAGACAGCCTGAGACCCAGAGCGCTGGCCAGGCAGCCGGGCCGGGTCGCTGCACCTCCAGATCTGGAAGCAAAGGGCAGCTGCTCCCACGCGGGGACAGGAGCAGGCACCGTCCGCATCCAAGGAGGAGACAACCGCACCCCTGAGCAAACCCGAGTCCCACGCGCTTCCTCTGCCAGCCCCTTCCAGTGGGAAGAGCACGGGCTGGTGACCTCAGACGGCACCAGACAGGGCAGGCGTGGCCACTCAGCCCAGAGAGGGAGGTCAGCGGCCCACACCTGTGACCCCAGCTCTCGGGGAGGCTGGGAGAGAGGACTGCAAGTTCAAGCCCACCCTGGCCACTTGGTGGCTTAGTGAGACACCACTTCAAACTTTAAAACTAAATAAAAAGACAAGTGAATGGAGTGGGAATGGCAGCCACACGGACGTCTGCGTGCATCAGCTCCGAGGAAGAGGGTGGTGAGGACAGCACCGGGCAGCGGGGCCGCTGTCTGGACAGGAGCCGCCTGCGTCGTCCTGCATGCTCTCCACAGCTGAATGAGGGAAGAGAAGGGGGAAGGCCACTCGCTGTCACACAGGTCACAAGTGCGAGTCACCCACACCTTTCAGTCTGCTGGGTGGGCGTGAAAAGGGGGGAAAGAGTCAGGATCACCGCGCAGGGAGTGTCCAGTGACAACAGGCTTTGCAACACACTGAGAGAAATTATCTTTTCAAAGCAAAACACACATGAACAAGATTAGCGTCGTGGTAACATGGCTGCGCACACACACACACACACACACACACACACACACGCACGCAACTGAGCTCTCCCCACCAGTGCAGGAGCTGGTGAGGACATGGAGCCCAGCAGCTCACAAGAGCCTGGGGACCCCAGGCAGGTCCCGCCTCACCCAGAGCTGAGGCAGGAAGAGCTGCGCGTGTGCGCATGTGTGTGCTCGTGTGCACATGTGTGTGCTCGTGTGCGCGCGTGTGTGGGCTGCAACACGTTATGATTTGTTACCCAGCAACAGAAAACAATTACAGAAGTCTACTGAAAATAAAGCAAAGTAGAACTGATATTATTAAGTGCACAGAAAGTGCTATTAATATTCTTGGAGTACAGATACTGAAATTTATAAGAGAAAATTATGTAGAAATAGAGAAATGTAGAAATAAATCCACTGATTAATCAATAAGTAAGAAGTGAGGGCTATTAATATTAAGAAGGAATTAAGGATTCTACACAAAAAGAGAAATGTTAACCCACATGACTCAAACGTATATTTTCGAAATGTGGTATCGATTTACCCTAAATTATGATGTAACTGTGTCAGGCAATTTGGTTGTAGGGAAGCAGCACAGGAAGTCAATACTCCATGTCTCGTACTAATAAATCAAGGGAAGGATGCTTTGTTTTGCTCTTAACGAGGTGCTGCCTCAGTGAGCCAGCTGGCCCTGGGGAGCAGGCCGGGCAGGAAGAGGTGAAAGGACAAGGCCCTAATGTGAGCCCGTGGCCTGCGTGAGTCCGCGTTTAGGGTTTACCTTTCCAGGGGTCCTGGGGCCAGTTAGCAGACAGTCATTATCAAGAGCGAGTCACGTAACTGTACCGCTAAATAAGTTACACTCACATCATTTCCTAATCATTTTACTAGGGTTCCCCATGTCAGGTGGTCTAATCCATCTACCACATTTTACGGTGGAAAGATGATGCAATTGGGAGCTCACCTTGTCGCCTGATGTCTACTTGGAATCTAAGTTGACTTTGGTGCATAGAAATTGGCAGATGTGCCAATCCAGAGCTTGATTCATTGCATTTTTATTGCCTAAACTTCATACATTGATGAACAAAATCTTTTTCAGCGCTGGGGACTGAGCCCAGGTTCTCACACATGCTGAGCCAGTGCCCTGCTACTGACCCACGAAACTCACCCCTGAAGAACATTTAATCATGAAAATTAAAGTCAAAGTTGGCCCATGTCTGTACCTGCTATCGTGTGAGTTGGCCAAAAAGTCCTGAGAGATATCCTTCCAGTGTCTGGAAACTCTGATCCAGTTCAGCAAAGATATTGCTCACTGATAAATTCTAACAAATATCTTCACTGTCTCGCTCCCATCTTTCTTGATAACAGACATGAAGACATGAACCAGCGTCCGGGCCACAAGGTACTAACTTCCCAGCCACAACCACAAGCTCCTCCCAGGTCAGAACAGGACTGATGAACCATCAGCAAAAGCCCTCAGTAAGAACCAGTTGACGACTTAAAATTTACAATAAAAAATTCAACATTTCATTATTATTTGTGAATTGAATGCTTCGCATCACTTATATCAGTAAAATCTGCAATAAATACATGTACATACATGATGCATACTTTTAAAAACCCAAAACCAGTTATTAAAAGTACAGCACATCAGTAAGTTAAAGCAAACTCAGAGCTCTATTCCTCATATTACATGTTCTTTCATTTTTCTGTCTAGAATCATGCACATTATAAAATTAATTTTAAATAAGTTGACACCACATAGTACCATTAATAAGTACCCTGCTTACGTTTTGTGTACTTTAAAGATATTAATTTAAAGAATAAAAAAGGTTTTCACAAGTGGCCTCTTAAGATCCAACCTGATATATGAATACAAACCTTTTAAAACAATTTGCTCTATTTCAAGAACCTTAAAAAATCTCAAAATTTTTAGCAAATATTTATACATTTACATATACACAGGAACTTATTAGAAATGTGAACATTACATATAGATGCTTATAATATTTCCAAAAATGGTGGAAAATTAAATATTTAGAGTCACTAAAATACATGTATGTGGTAAAATATGTGGAAAAAATAATAGATTTTCATATAATTTTTAAAATATCAGTACATTTATAATACATTAATAACACATAAAAATAATATATGAAATGTCAACTATGAAAGTGAATAAAATTTTGAAAACTATCAACATATTAACGGTTATTATTACTTAGAATATATGATTATTTTGTTTTGCTTTTCACACATCTATGATTAACAAATTTCTACAATAGAAAAAATCATATTGAAAAATATAAGGATAATATAGTAAAATTATGGAAATAAATCGAATAGAACCTTATTTAACCTTCATAGAAGAAGACCTTGTTGTATTAGAAACCATGAAATGAGGAAAGAAATTGGATAAATACACACAGGGCATAGGCTGGAGGTTCATTCTATATAAGAACATGGTATGGTAAATGAGAATGTGCTGAAATGTTCAGTTGTAGTCAAAAAAGGAAAACCAGTATAAACTTACTAAGATAAAGAATAAGATATGCATGGGAAACTCAGCTGAAACTCAGCCACTCCTAAGTGCTCCAAGAGAAGCACAAACCGGAACGAGGTCTGTTGGAAATATAGGTGGGCGCATTGTACATGTGTCCACACACACACACAGACACACACTCCTTCACATATGATCAATCGCTGATTGAACAATTCCAACCTGAGATTTCTACACTAAGCACCTAATTCTAAAACCAGCAAAGTCTTCCTCACAATGCAAACTATGGAGAAAACAGGAAGGCAGCATGCTAACAACACTCTCATACAGACGTATATTGACCCACAACGGAAATATTATATACACCCAGCTAAAACTGTCTGTAAAGTTCATTAAAATATTTATATTTGAATGGGAAACAGGATACAGTATCATGTAAAATAAAACAAAGTACAATACTCTACACCATGTAAATATAAAAAAGCATCAGCAGTCATTAAATAGAATGTGCTAAGCACTGTCCTGAGCCCCATCCTTCCTTTTGTTTACTGCTCACAGCTTCATGCGTGGTGCAAACACTGCTCCGTGTTCACAGGTGATGAAACCACATGGATCGAAAATGAGGAAGAGCAGAACTGTGGTACAGCTCTGCCAGGGCACTTGCTTAGCACATGTGAGGCCTGGGTCCGACATCCAGAACTGAACAAAACTACACATAATAAAAATTTAAATGAGACATAGAAATATTAACCAAAGATGACTGATGTTTCCCTTATTTTCACTTTTCTGAATTTCTTAAATATCCCATAATTGGGAACTATTGTTTCTATACTTGGGATAAGAAGCAATTCACTTACTTTTTTGAAGCTGGTCGTTTGACAGTGAAGCATAGGTTTAAAAGTGTAGTGAAGACACCATGGGAAAACGTTTGGTCCCAGTGGCAACAAAGGAAAACAACGGAGAGGTCATGGAAAGTGTGCATAAGAAGTGCAATTTGGTCGACTGGTTGTCAGAAGCAGGATGTACTGAGCACTACCCTGTGCAGCAGCACCCTTTGTGTGCCACAACTGTGCATAAACTCAATAAGCTAATTCCAAACGAAATAATTTCCAGATAAAATGAAAACTTTAAAAACCTATAAAGAAAATCTACAAGTAATATAATACTATATTTATCAGGTCTATATCATGTAAAGAATCTCAGCCTTGAAGTAACAGAAGAAATCACGAAGGGATAAACAAACATATTTGAATATTAAATATTTACAACTCATAGAAGAAAGAAAAAACTAAAAACCATTAGACTACAAAAATATCTTTTAAAATATTACAACTGGGAAATAGTCATTTTTTAAGGTTTAATTTTATATTTTAATTAGATCTTCATAGTAGTAGACCATCGTATATTTGGGAAAAGATTAAAATAACTTATAGAAAATTGTATACAGGTTTACAAATGGCAAATAAAATATTAGAAAATATGATTCTGAAGAATAACTAGAAATGCAAATTAGAGCAAGAGTTGAGTATCGTTTTCACTTACTTAACAAGCAAAAAATGTAGCGTAAAACTTATAAAACACCCAAGGGGTGTGATTATCATGAAAGTAGGCTCATGACACTTTCATGCCTCCCTTGAATCTTACGGCCCTGCAGTTGGAGAGGAAAATAAGATCTGTTGTTCTAATGCAGAGCACAGTGGCTGTGGAGACTGGGAACACAGTGTGTATTTCAAAACAACCAGAAGAAAGCATTTTGAATGCTTTGTCACAAAAATGATAAATACCTGAGGATATAGAGACTCTCACCCTGACCTGAACAACAGGCGATGTGCGCATCACACTGCCAAACATGTCCAAGTTTGCAGGGATCACAATGTGTATAAAGGGAATCTTCGGGGCTTTAGGGAAAATGTTCCGCACACAGCAAGCTCACACCTTGCTCTCGCTGACTTCCTACGGCCACTCAAGACTTTGATTTTACAAGTCTGTCTTAAGCACAGTGCACTAGTAGCTGGCACCTCTCTCATCGGGGTTGCAGCTCCCTCCGCTGAGAGAAGGCAAGGCTGGAGAGGCCTGCAGTGTGGCCTCAGGCGGTGAGCAGAGCACAGCTGCTCCTGGAGAGCTCGTCCCTGTCCCTATGGCCTGGGCTGCTTAAGGAGGGAGGGCTATTTTGGCGCCTGTTTCAGTCCACAATCGGTTGGCTCTGAGGCGGGCCAGCGCGGCAGAGGGCCTGGAAGGCCAGAAGCAGTGGAGGCAGGAGCCAGGTGGGAAATTAGCCTTGGAGTCCCCAGGAGGCCTCTTCCCCAGGCCCCACCTCCTAACTGCAAGTCAGCTGTGAGCTGTGAGCTGTGGCCCCCAGGTCCTGCCAGGGCCCACACCAGCTTTAGCAGAGCTTCTAGATAGAAACCATAGCCAACACTGAATGAAGATCGAGTCCATGAGGAGAGAGGAAGTGCCCAGGCCAGGCAGCAGGTGAAGGCTCTGTCGCATCCAAGCTGGAGGAAGGGGGGAGCTGCCAGGAGCCGCCTAAACGGCGCATCTGAGGCTGAGGGGACAGCCACTCTGACCGTGGGTGAGTCTAGGGCCCTCGAGGGACCGCGGAGCCCCAGGAGTGGATGATGGAGAGAGGTGAGATTCCGGGAGCATCTCAAAACAGCACCAGCAGGACTCTTGAGGGGCCTGACAAGGATTTGAAATAAAGAGCAGCTTTTGTTTGAGGCGATCCTTGGAGCCGTGAGGAGTCCGGGCCCTGGCACAGGGCTGGAAAGGACACCTGGGAGCCGGGTCCCTGTGGTCCCAGCGGAAGCGTGAAGGCCGGCAACCCGCGAGAGACAGCTGTGCCGCCACCAGGAGGGGAGGCAGCAAAATCAAGCGAGGGTCCACCTCGTCCCAGGGAACAGCTGCCCTGAAGCAAAGCAAGAAAAGCCGAGGGGCTGGAGGGAAAGGACTGGTGACAGCCACTGGTGAGACTGCAGTGGGCGGCCAGCGCGACCCCCTGTGCAGTGATCCCACTGCGGGCAATGGATCCACACGAAACCGGCAAAACAAAGGGATGCCTGCACACCGGCTATGAGAGCACAAGGCACCAGAGGTGAGATGGGGAACCAGGCTAGGCGCCCGACAACAGATGAATGGATAAGGAAAATGTGGTCCATGGACATGGTGGAGTATCATGCAGCCATAAAGAAGGGTGGAATCGTGTTATGTGCAAGGAAATGGATGGAACTGGAGAATATTATAAGAGAAATAAACCAGACACAGAGAGACAAGTCCTTCACACTCTCTCTGGAAGCTAAAACCTGAGTGGAAGGGTGTTGGGGAGAGGAGAGGTCAGACAAAGAGAGCCCAGATTTGAACAGGGCCTACTATCTGCACATGTGTAAATACCACAGGGAGCCCAGGAACATGTAGAATTAATAATGTTAATAAAAAGAAAACATAATAATTCACAAGAGGGCCCAGGAGGTGGAAGAGTTGGAAACTGTGGGATTAAGAAAAAAGTCCTGAAAATTACTTAACTCTAAAGTATGTGCTGAGAAGCTTTGATGAAGCAGAAACTAACCACAGAGTTCATCCAGTCCACCGTCGTAGTCCGTGCACGCTTTGTGCCTATCCGATCTTTCCCTCTCCGAATCCCCCGGCCCCACGTGTGGTCCTGGCCCAGATCCAGGCCCAAACCCCAGAGGAGGGAGGCTGTGGCCTCACAGCACTTGCCCAGGTGCTCGGCCCCTCTGCCCTAGGCCGGCCCTCTGCCTCAGCAGCCTCCTGCTTCTGGAGAAGGGGAGCCAGGTGCCCTGAGGTGCACCCCCGGGCCTCCTGGGCACCTGGAGCCCAGAGGGGCAAGGGGCATGGGGCACGCAGAGGACCAGGTCCAGCCTGCCTGGCGCTGAACGGGCAGCTGGAACAGCAGCAGAGGAGCGGGGAGAGGCCTGAGCCTCAGCTGGCCTGGCCCAGGCCCCTCCAATCCCCACCCTGGCTCCCGGTGGGAGCTGAAGCCGAGCCCAGGCCCACAGCAGGCCAGCGTGGGGGGAGGCCGCCTGGGAGGGAAGGACCCAGACACAGTGATGATAATTTAACTTCTCCCTCATCTTTATTCCCTTTGTTTCTTTCTCTCATCCGATTGCTCTGGCTAATGTTTCCAGAACTGTATTGAACAGGAGTGGTGATAGTGGACATCCTTGTCTTGTTCCTCCAAAGAGGAAAAGCTTTCAGTTTTTGATCATTTAGTATGATGTTATCACACTGTCTCTCTAGTGTGAGAAACT